AGGTTCAGGGCTTAGGGTTGGGGATTAGGGTTCGGGCCTTAGGATTCGGGTTTAGGTGGTTTTGGGTTTAGAGTTTATCTGTAGGTAGTATAATTCATGGCCCACAAACTCATAAACCTCTGCCATTCTGGGGTTTAGCTAGCATCCTCAGAGCAGCAAAGGCGGCGACGGGAAGAAGCTACTGGAAATATGGGAATGAGGGCCTTCACCATTTTGCATTTTCCCTAAACCATAAACCCTAAACCCTAAATCCCAATATACCGATAAGGCTATGGAAGACTCGCTTTGAGAAAATTATTCATGTAGGTCTCGCTGGTGTTCTTGTGGAAAGCAAGCTACCTGCTAGGGTCATGACCATAACTGTAGAACCCCAACATATACATATATGTATAACCCTAAACCCTAAACCCTATATACCCCAAATCGTAGTTTTCCATTATCCATATATACTATATACTTCTCACAGATATACATCTACGTTGGGAGATTCCTGGGAAAGGTTTTCATTAAAATGTTTCACTAGGGTTTAGGATTTGGGGGTTTAGAAATTGTAAGGCTTCATTTACGTGAACCATCATCTGAATCTGGCCATGTCCGTTTGATTTCGGTAGGGTGTGAGCTCTCAATTGAGGTCGCTGGATGCCCGGTATCTCCCCCAAATAATGGGGCCCTCGTAAACCCTAATCCCTAAACCCTACTCTCTAATATCGTGCTTACGAGGCAAATTTCAAGGGGTTGGGCTGCCGTCATCCCTTTGCGCAAACAGCCCGCAAGACACCCAAAGAAGTGAAATCAGCTAGAATGGGCTTACCCCTAAACTTCGCGAAAGACCCCTGAACCCCAAACCCCTCAACCCCCTAAACCGCCCAAAGCTCTGGACCCCTAAACCCCCGACCCCTAAACCCCTAGACCCCTAGACCCTAAGGGTCCAAGGACCCAAATAATAGGGTTTTAGGGCCCAAATACCATTCATAGTATAGTATTTGGGCCCTAAAGCCCTATTATGTGGGTCCTTGGACCCTTAGGGTAAACCCTCAACCCTCAACCCTAAACCCTCAACCCTAAACCCTAAACCAGGCAGGCCGCTGGCGAGAAAGGAGCTCTACTGCTTGGTGCCGAGACAAGTATACAGTTGACTATTTAGGGTTTAGGGTTTTGGCGTAGTCTAAACCCTTAAACGGGGTTCTATAGGGGATTATATAGGGAGTAGAGTTTAGGATGTAGGGTTTAGGGTCCAAGGTGTAATTCGGGTTCAAGCTACTAAACGGGGGTTGTATATGGGATTTCTAAGGGGAGTATTATATAGGGTTATGAAGGGGAAAAATGGGAGTTTAAACTCTAGCTCATTTGAGGAGTTTGGTAACTCCAACCGGGTTGTTCAGGGTTTTAAGGTTTACACATCAGGGTTTGAGGCTTAGGGGCTTTTGGTTCAGGCTGTTGGTAACCCATACCCTCAAAATTAGGACCCCTCAATGGTGAGAGGGTCGCATAGTGGAGAATGAAATGAAAAAGGGCAACTGAAAGGAAACAACGAGAAGGACACCAGGGATACTGATATGGGGGCTTATAGTAGGTAATAATGAATTTTGGGAGGCCCAACCCTCCAAATCAGGACCCCATTACAGGTGACAATGATAGGGTCCCAATTGTGGGTTTGGGGTTTAGAGTTTAGGGCCGAGGAAGGGTCGCAATTACCAAAGTTCTCCCATTGCAGTGAAGAGGCAACATGCCAATGGCAAATCATGGCGGATAGCAACCGCAGTCTGGATTGTCATAATGTGACACTGGTTGACGAACCAACCATTTTCCGATAAGCTTACGTAAAGGAGACCCTGAACCTTAAAACGCGACTTCGGCCAAATGTGGATGCTGTCTGGATGTCCTACTGTGCCTTTTCGGGGATATACTTTGCATAAAGGTATAGAACCGAGCCATCAAACAAATAGCAGGTTAAGCTTGATTGGGTTGAGCGTTACGGGTTTAACATACCATCAGGAACCTTTTTTAGATCTCGTCCAGACTCCCCTAGCTTCACTGGAGCAAAACGGCGGTCCATTCTTGGCTTAATGTCGTTGATGAGGGAATGTCTCAAATCTGATTCTTGCAGCCCCCCAAACTACCATGGCACCTGAAAAGGACACCTATCTACACTGCCAGCCTTTCAGTGTAAAGGGGTCTATAGGGGATTCCATGTTAGTTCGGGGGAGGGAATAGCATTGAAACCCTAAACCCTAAATCCTAAGTCTTAAACCCTAAATCCCAAACCCTAAGACCTAAATCCTAAACTCTAAATCCTAAACCCTAAACTCAGAGAGCAGACGGAGGCTGAGCCTCTTCGCGAAGTTCGCTGGGCAGTATGGCGATGCAGTGGAGGGGAAGCTGTCCAACCAACCCCTGGAGGACGGACATGAGTCACTTTCTATTTTCGGATTTAGGGTCTAAACTCTAGTTTATATAGAGTTTAGGGTTTAGGAATTAGGGTTTAGCGTTTAGGCTCTAGACTCTGCATTGCATAGCGTTTAGGCTTTAGGATTCAGGGTTTAGGATTTAGGGTTTGGGGTTTGGGGTCTAAGCTTTTTTAAAGGGAGTTATATAAAGGATTGTACAGGGGACTAGTAAACAGGGTATTCAGGGGGATACTAGGAGTTTAGGCTTAGGGCTAGGGTTTAGGGTATATACCAGGACCCTCCTCGTACCCTGAACTAGGGGTATACGGTCCCCTTTAGCGGGCATTTAGGGTATATAGAGGTTATATAGAGGGTAGATGGAGGGTCGAGATTCAAACTGCTTATTACAATTACAGTTACAGTTCGCATTATTCGTGCTATTAGTATAGGTTTTCTTCGCTGTGAAGGGGGCTCAAGCGGTTTCAGGTGTTGAGGTTTAAGGCAGAGCAGTGGAGGGTGAATATTGCTGCTGCGAGGGTGTTGGAAACCCTAAAACCCTAAAGCCCTAAAACCCTAAACCCTAAAGCCCTAAATCCTAAACCCCTAAAACCCTAAAACCCTAAACCCTAAAACCCTCAACCTCTAAAACCCTAAACACTAAAACCCTAAACCCTAAACCCTAAAAACCGAAACCCTAAAACTCTAAAGCCTAAAACCCTAAACCCTAAACCCCTAAAACCCTAAAACCCAAAAAACCCTAAAACCCTAAACCCTTAGCTTGTGCAAGCGCTCCGGGTTTCCGGTCAGGTTGGTTCAAAGCCCAACAAGATTTAGGGTTTAGGGTTTAGGGGTTTAGGGTTTACGGTTTAGGGTCAAAGGTTTGGGGTTTAGGGTGTTTGCCCTACCTGGACCCCAAAAGTATGTAAAATAATGGCCCTAAAGGCTGTTTTATGGGTTTAGGGCCATTATTTCACATACTTTTGGGGTTTAGGTATAGGTCCCGCTTAAGTAGCCCTAAACCCCAAACCCTAAACCCCAAATCCTAAACCCTAAACCCTAAAGCGGGTTCTGGTACATCCCAAAGCTCCCCCTCTCAGCTAAACCCTAAGCGCTAAACCACCGTACCAAAAATCTAAAACGCCCAGGGCCCAGCTGGCCAGCTCATCGGCCGTGCACGGATCGACTTCCTCTTCCGAGATGTTTTCGCGAGGAGGGCGCTGAGAACTGGGGGTCTGAAGGGTTGAGGCACAAATGGGGGACCCCAATATAGACCCGCATAATGTTGGTAGGGTTCAGGCACTGGAGCAATACGCAATGTTCCTATGTCCTTAAGAATGTTTCTGTGCTTTTATTGCTGTATAATCCTAAGGACCTTCGAGAATACTTCCTGTTGTTCTAGGTGTGAGAGGAGTACAGTATAGTCTCTGTACAACCATACAGTCCTCACCAAGTTTGTGTTTTGAAGTTGTGCCTTTACCTTTGCAAGCCCTAAAGCTTGAATCCTTAAACCACATCTACTGCCCAACACGTTGTGTGCGTTTAATTTGGAAAGCCCCGTGCTGATGGCCAGAAGCGATACGTCTAGGTCATGTGCTCTAGGTTACGTGGACCCCCCACCCTGCAACAGTGACTATTCGGCATAATATGGATTCTCTTAGGGCCTCTTATATTCCTCTTATACCACTGTTAGAGGGCGGGGGGTCCTCCTAAGCTCTAGGTTTCCCAGAGTTGAGGGGTTTAGGCTTCAGGAATCTTTTGTTTAGCGATCAGAGTCTTCATGTACAGGGGTTTAGGGTTTAGGGTACAGTTAGGTGGACCCCCACCCTGTAATGGTGACTATAAGGGATAATAAGGACTATATTAGGGTCCTACTATATTCCTATTATACCACTATTATAGGGTGGGGGGTCCTCCTAGGGTATTGAGCTCCTTGGTTCCTTGCTA